GTCTTAGGGTGTACGTATTCGCAACCTGGACTTCCCCGGACGTTTCCGACCGGAATTACGTCTAGATTCGTCTAGCAAGTCTCACAATCTGAGTACGACCTGATCGTCCTCATCGTTCTCATCATGTACATCATCTTGCGGTTAACTGTTACAATCATAGGAGCAGAAACACAGCGAGATAGAAAAAGAGAGAGAGAGAGAGAGAGAGAGAGAGAGAGACAGACAGACAGACAAGACAGACAGACACAGAAACCAAGAGAGATAGACAGACAGAGAAACCGAGAGAGAGAGACAGACACACAGACAGACACAGAAACCAAGAGAGAGAGACAGACAGAGAAACCGAGAGAGAGAGAGAGAGAGAGAGAGAGAGAGAGAGAGACAGACAGACAGACAGACAGACAGACACAGAAACCAAGAGAGACAGACAGACAGAGAAACCGAGAGAGAGAGAGAGAGAGAGAGAGAGAGAGAGAGAGAGAGAGAAAGAGAGAGAGAGAGAGAGAGAAGAAAAAGAAGAATTCATCCCGCTTCTCTTACCTCGTTGTGCTTCCACGTGTTCACTGAAGGTCATTGCGGTATGCTCCCATTTCTTCATTCAAAGCCTAGCCATAGGGACTCGCCTCACTGGTCTCGAAATGTTCAAAACGAGAGTGAATTTTCCGCAAGAACATGGAAAGATACACGGCCATGATTTTTGTCTTTTGTGCATGTCGCGAGTAGCGGATCGAGGCCCATATATAGCCTTGTTCTCTCTTTCAGGACCATTTTTCCTCGATTTACGCGTATCGTCCTAAAGCCACCACTCCATCAAAACCTATTTTTTTATTATAATTTTTTTTTTTTTCTTAAACATCCGAACCTACTACTTTGAGGAACCAAACATCTTTCTGTATCGCTCGTTCCAATTTTAACGGACGTCCCGAAGAAATGGAGCCTACTCTCTCAATTTATGCCTAACACAATCTTCTCGATTTAGTTATGGGCCCTGCTCTCTCGATTAGTGCACAGGCCCAATTCTAATCAATCTTCTCCGTATCGCTCGTTCCGATTTTATCGCACGTCCCGAAGGATGTGCCGTTCTTCTTTTTTTTTTTTTTTTTTTTTTGGAGCAAAACAAATTCATCCGTTAATAGAGAACGGGAACACACCCCACCAATACAACCCGGTACAACACATGCTCGGGCCCTTACCCAGCTATGGGCTCCTGCAAACCGGGCCATTCTTCTTTTCCTTTTTCTTCCTTTTCTTTACCTCTTTCTTTCCTCAGAATGATTTTACTCTGTTCATCTGGGCCGAGCTCCCATTAGCAAAGAGGATCGGATCGAATGCCTGAATGTGGACGTGTTTTATGCAGAGATGCAGAAGAGCAGTTCAATCTCGATTTCCTGCACATCTCCATAAATTCGTCCAGATTGAGGCATTCGATCCGATCCTATTTGCTAGGGGGACCACGCCCCTGATTATATATCGGGATTCGAACTTGAGTCGATTCATATTTCAACAGAGAGTTTATGGGTGTACCAACTGAGCTAGGCCCGTTGGTGTATGCGATGAGTTTATGGGTGTACCAACTGAGTTAGGCCCGTTGGTGTATGCGATTTTTTCTTTCTTCTCCAAAAAAGGCGTGACAGCCTTTCCATAAAAAAGGGCGACAGCGTTTGTTGTTTTTTTTTTTCATTTCTCGATTTATGCGTGTCATCCTTGCGCAGGGGCCATGCTAATCTCCTCTGTATCGTTCCAATTTTAAGGGATGTCCCGAAGGACTTTTTTTTTTTTTTGAGGTATTATCATCCGACTAACCAGCCCAGTGTGTTCATGCGGCCTGTTTTTCAGTCAGAAGTCTTGA